GAATAGCACAGTCAGACCATATGCTGTGGAGAGCAGGGAGAGGATGGAATTGCAGAGGCACCGACACGTGCCCGAGTTTTCTGGCTGTAAGGTTTTCACGTGATGGAATAGAGCTCATTCCTCTGCCTCTGTGTGATGTGCATTGGGGGAGTTTAACACCACAGCACCTGCCTGGGGTGCAATGTCAGCTGGAGCGAGGAAGGAGAGCTTTCCCTGCGTGTTTTGGTGAGCAAAGAGCGCGTTGGTGCTTGTCCTTCCTTGTCCGGCTGCTGACACGGGGAGGAAAGGAGCCAGTCCCACATGATGGGCAGCTCTCCTCGGTCAGGAACTCAGGCAGGATTATTGCTGAAGTGCTGGTCTCGCAGATCTGGCGGAAGGTTTGGGGAATGGGGAGTGATTCAGGCAAAAGAGGCAGCTCTGTTCGTTCTGCCCATGATGGCAGTACAAGGTTTGTAATGTAATTGCAGCTTCCGTGACCTGGGATGTGAAAAGGGTGACAGCAGCACTGGGGAATGAAACTGAGGGCATGAGCTGGGCTCTGAGAAGGGAAAGTGCATCTGTCTGCAGTCAGGTGAGCAAGAAAGGATGGTAATGAAAAAATTGGAGTTTTAGTAATCTGACAGTGGGAGGAGTATGGAAAAGTAAGTCTCCATGCTCTGCTCCAAGGCCACCATGGACATGTCATCTCTGAGAAGTTGGCTCCTGTGATGCCTACACCAGGTTAGTTGGCTCATCTTTGGAGACTGATGCTTTTCAAAGGAAAGCAAATCCTGGGATGACTGGCATCCCTACAAGGGACATCTGAAACACTCTTGTCCTGCTTCTGACAGCAGCATCATTTCTTCTCTCTTTGCTTGCCTTGCAGTAGCTTTCCTATAAGTTTTGGGGTCAGATGGGTCCCATGTGCCCCCTGACCCAGCGTGCTTTCCTCCACTCTGTGTCACAAGCCAGGAGTGTCACATCTTTCTGCCACAAAGCGATAAATCACCGCTGCCTTCTGACCGTGGGGACAGTGGAAGGCACCACGGACACCCTGTCATTGCTGGCTGGTAGCAGGTTTTTGGCATGTTGAAGGAAGTGAGCTCTGTAATGGCTTAATGCCCCCTTGCTCATAAGCTTAGCATGAAGCACATGCTTAATAAATTTATTTTCTCAAAGTGGGGCCCGCAGCGAGTGACTGAGCTGGACTGTTCCAGGCTCTATGCCTTCACTGGCTCCTTCTGTAATGCTGTGGAAAGTCATTTAAGTGTCTCCAGTATGTAAGTTTACCCAGCTGTAAAATTGGGTATAATAAGGCTTGCTTACTTTACAGCAGAGGTTTAATTCAGTGGTGTTTGTTGTGAGTGTCAGGCCTCATCCAGGGGGTACAATAGGAAGGGTGTTGTAGATGGGCAGCTGGAGGGACAGCCCTTAGCAAAGTCATTGTTAGGAGACAAATCTCTCTGGAACAGAATACAGAAATCAAACAGCAGCTGACAGAACCAGATAATGATCTTCCCTGTAAAACACAACCTTCCAGGTGATGGGATGAAGGTGTCAGGAAGGGAGTTGGTGTGACAGAATGACAAGTGTCACCGACTGCCTGGAACGACTTTGAGTGCCAAACCCAATAGCCCATCCCAGCCCTGTCTCTGTGGGTACCTGCCCAGCCCTTTGCTCTCTGCACCAATTCAGGCTGATATGACAGGGAGCCTTTGCAGAGTGAAGCAGAAACCACGTGGTGGGTTGGGAAGCCCTCCTGCTGCCCACTCATCCCGAGTACAAAAACGCCAAGAGGAGCAATACACTGATTTTAGCTCAACTGCCCCCCAGCAGCTCTGTTCTGCTGAACAGCCCTGCTGAGCAGAGCATGGAGTTGGTTTAAAGTGCACACATTTATCACCTTCATGGGTGATTTATAACATGAAGTGTGTTCAAAGAGCACAGGACGTGGTTTCTCCTGCCATGGAGCTTTTTGTCTGTGTTTGGGACCTGACTGCCTGTTTGCTGTGTGTCTCACTGGGGGGTTGGTGGGCAGTGAGGTTTCATCAAAGGCTGTTGGGTTTTATTGAACAGCTCTGTGTTATGTTAAAGGCTGGAGGGCAGCCAAGCTGGGCCCTGTCATGGTTGGTACATGAAAAAAGTCATTACCTTGAGGTGCCAAGGCTCCAAAATTGGTAGTAATGGAGTGATGAGGGATAAATTGCTCTGAATATAGGTGAGAACAGAGGAAGACTAGCTGTGGGCAGTGAGCACTGGGTGAAATCTGGTTGTGCCATGCCCAAACAGAACCTGGTTTCCAGCATGGATGGGCAAATGCTTTGGGAGTGGTTGGAGGAGGCATCCTTGCTTTTCTTGGTGACTCAGGTAGAAACACTCATCTAACTAATAATATAAAAGCACAGTTTTGACTGCACCAGGGACAGTGTGGAGCTCACGCTGTGCAAGCCCGTGTCCCCCATGACTGCTGCCCACAGAAGGAACAGCTCTCCCAAATGCTTTAACAAAAGAGATCCCATCTCTAATTTGGGCAACAATTACTCTGTGACATGGAAACCTGGTGTCAGGTACCTCTTTCTTATCCCCCAGCGTTCTGTGGCTTTTCTGCCCTAAGCATTTTATTTGTTTGCCTGGTTTCACAAAAAAAATGCTTTGGTCCAGCTGAGTATTTTAGATTTATTTGTGAACCATGTGGTGTTTGAGTCAGTTGGTGTGAGTTGTAGTAACGTCCAGAAGCTGTGGCTGTTTAAATCATAAGTATCAGATCAATCAAGCAGTCTGGAAAAGGTGCTCCCAGAGAAAACCATCCTTCTGGATCTGCTTTTCCAAGGAATTCAACGGCTGCTTGCACTTACTGTGTATTATAGTCCTTCTTTTGAGTTTTAAATTTCATGCTTCCACTGCACAGCTCTTGTTTTCAGTGTTAGGAAAAAGTGGCCCACTTCTCAGAAATGAAGGGCTTCCAAGGGCCTCGATTAAATCTGACTTTCTAAAGAGTCTCCTCTGCTGAGGGTCACGTCCTATGCTTTGCTTCTTCAGTGGAGAGTTTTGCTGGGAAAGAACTGTGATAGTTGTCATGTTACCCTTTTAAATATCTCCTCCATAGATTAATCTTCCTGTTGCATGTTGATACAAGCCAGGGACTGATTTCATGGGATGGAGGGGTGAGTTCCTCTGTGCCTGGCTCTGCACAGGGCTGTGATGGGGACACTGCAGGGACTCTTGGAAGCTGCTGGCTGGGGACACACTGTGGGGCTGGGCTCAGATGAGCTTGACAGCTCCTGTGTAAATGAGCTGCAGCCAAACCTCCCCTCACACACACGGCAGGGTGGGATAAAAGATGGTAAGTGGATAAGAAAACCACAGGCTAAATAAGCAGACAAAACTAACAAGCTTAAATTCAGCCAGGACTCAGATTTCCATCTGAGAGCACAATGCATGTCATTGCACGGAGGGCAGGGGAAAGAACAGCTCTTGTCTCTTTTCATGGGTGTAACACTCTGGACATGGAGATCAGGCAGCAGCCCCTTGGTGTGGGACAGCAGGGCTGGGCCAGCAGGGATGCTCCCTTTGGGGACACAGAGCAAGACACAGAGCTGGGCTGTGGCCACAGGGACCAGCCCCAGCACACATGGAACCTGCCCTGTGGGGATGCTGCTGCTGGCTCTGAACGAGGAGCTCCAGCTGTGCCCACAGGCAGGAAGCAAATGTTGGTGCCCAGCTCAGCCAATGTCACCCCGAGACATGGCTTAAAATTGAAGATAAATCAAAGTTTTTGGACCTCAGGAACGGACAGAATAATATTCCTGCTAAAGAGAACACTACAGAGCTCTGACCAAAGTTCCTCCCAACACATTGCTTTTACCATGGCAATCTGTTCAAAGGTGCTGCTGCTTCCCATGCTTTCTGCCTCTTTATTTATTTTGAACATTGCCTAATGTTCATTGCTGTCCCAATGACCTTCCACTTTTCCACTTAATGCAGTCTCTGAATTCAGTTTGTCCCTCGTGAGGGGTGTAGGAAAGGCCACATGTGCATTCCCCTCTGTCTGTGCTGCTCCTCCCGTGCCCTGGGAACGTGGCAGAGCCTTTGGCCACCAGCCTGGCTGTTCCCTCTCCCCAGCCTGGCAGGGACCAGCAGTGCCCATGAGCAGGTTGCCAGAGGTGAAACCCAGACTTTTCTGCACTCTCTGTAAGTGTTAATGAACCTTGTAAAGCAAGAGCTCACTGAAGGATGTCGAGCCCCAGCTGTTCCCTCTGGGGAAGTCACCTGGCAGAAACTGTGAGCTATTTGTTGATTCTTTCATTGCTGAAGTTGGTGTGGATATACAGGAGGTGGTTGCAAAGGGAGATGTTTATAAAGGGATCGCTACCCTTGGAGCACGAGGCTTCTCCCAACACGGTGCTGTTTCCTTTTTAAAAATGTCTTTTTTTCTCTCTTTCTCTCTCTTTTTTTTTTCTTTTAAACCACCATGCCTGGTCTCTGCCCCTAATACCCCTCTCGTATTCTATTTGATTTTCAGGAGGAGAATACCCTTTTATCCACCCCACAGAGGAGTACTCACAGAAGCACAGAGTGGATCAGGCTGGAAGGGACCCCAGTGGGTCATGTGGTCCCATCTCCCTGCTCAAGCAGGGTCTTCCCAGAGCACATTGCCCAGGATTGCATCTGGATGCTTCTGGAATACCCCCAGTGAGGGACACTCCACAACCTCTCTTCCCACAGTCCGATTTATGAACCTGTTTGTGAGCCTTCACTGGGCAGAGTCAGGTTTCAAGTGATGCATCTCAGCTGCACTTCTGGAGAAATTCAGGATTTTGTTCTCTGCCCTGATTTCCCGGAGCTGACACGACACCACAGCTGACATTTGTGGAGTGATCACAGAGAGCACTTGGATAACACCCACTGCAGCAGGAGCTGCACTCACCTGCTGCCAGGTGCAGGTGGCAAAGCCCAGGAAAAGGCAAAGTGGAATGGGGGGAAACCAGAAGGGAAAATCTCTCTCTTTGGAAGTCCATCACTGAAATGCTGAGGCTAAGCAACTTCTCCGAGTTACTTGTTAATAATCTACAAATGATAATTAATTGACAACTGCTGGCAGCTCTCTGGGTGAGGATCTGTTGCACAAGACAGATGTCTTTATTTGGAGTTGTGTTATGGGAAAGATGGGTTATGCTCCTACAAGTCACCCATTAGTTCAGCTGCTCAAACAAATAATTTTCTTGATTCACTGTAATACTTAAGACAACAGGAAGCCCTTTAGTTCTTAGAGGAAAAAATGTTACAGTTTTATATAAATTTTTTTTGGTATCATAAAAGATCGACTTTCATCAGTTACTTCTTCATAGTTATGAGCTGCTGTTGCTGTCATTTTAATGTTAGATATTGTTATAGAAAGAGGAGATACAATATTTCTTTCCGGTTTTGCTTTGTTTTAGTAAATTGTAAGTCATGATTTAAGTTTCTGCATTAGGGTTTATTTCTGTCTCCCAGTGGGATAATACAATCCACAGTATCTCCTATTGCTTTCATTTTTAAGAGAGGATGGATGAACCAGCTCACCTGTATGTCCTGTATGAAGTTAATTTAAATGCATATTTTGACTGTTATTTTTTTCTTTAATAGGAAAAGGATATTATTTAGGATGAGAACCAAAGATGAGAAATCCCAAAGGTGAGTTTCTTACTATACAAATTCCCAGGCAATAAATGAATGAATATCCTTTAAATGAGGTGAATTTTAATCCTTCTGTGGATGAAGTGTCCCTGGACTGGCTGTGAGGCCGAAAAGGGCACCTCTCCCCTTCCTCTCATGAAATCTCCTGTAATAACTGACTGGGGACCACTGGATGGGCTTTAGCACATCTTGAATGCATTTGATGGCCCATATGTTTAAACTTTGCTCATGTAGCCATATGTTGAAAACTTCCCCCAAATGCTGCTACTTCTTATTTTTAGGGCTGTTTTGAAGTTCTAAGAAAATGACAGTCTAATGGTGTGACCCCTTCACTCCAGACTGTGCCAAACATATTGTAGGCAGTCACTCCGTGGTGACCCTGGAGAAGTGGGAAGTGTAGGAGTGAACATTAATAGCAGAGAGAAGCTTGGCAAGTGACTGCAGGCAGGGAAATGAAGGCAAGTGTTTGGGAGATGCTGTGACTATTATCTTTTAAGTTAATCAAAGTTTCCTACTTTGTTTCCTGTAATTATCATTGTTTCCTCGTGTTTTCTGAGCATCTCCCCACTCAGAGGGGCTGGGCTTTTTTTTAGAAAGCTTTTTTTTCCCCCCAGATATAGTTATTTTTCTCCAGCAAAATCAGGTCCTTGTTACTTTAAAATCATAAATTTTGAGCTTAATGATTAAATGAAAAGCTGTGTTTAGATTTGAACCCTGAGACATGCACATATTTTGTAGTAGCCTGTTCTGAAGTCAGAATGACCCCTCATAGGAGGATTCATAGTTCTCATTTTCATCATTGCCAAAGCACTCAGCACCTCTCTGAGCAGGCAGGGGCCTGACTCTGCCCCACCAAGAGCCTCCTTAGAGCAGACCTGGCCCAAGCTCTGTGGATTTTTGCTTTCCCACAGAGAAGTAAGTGCACATTTTTCATTCTTCTATCACTGACATGGTTGGAACAACCTAAAATCCTCACCTGCTGAGTTTACTTCCCTCAAGCATCAGAAAACCTCCTTTCCCCATTCCTTTGAAGAAGTGAAACCAGAATTTCTTTCTCCTTACCACTAGTTTTTTTTTTTTGTTTGTTTGTTTTCTCTTTTGTTTTTCCAAATTGCCTCATGCTATCAGAGAAATGTCTTTGTGCTGTCAGGGTAACACTGTGTTGGGTGTTAAGATTCTTTGCAAATGTCCTGTAAGGGTTTGTTACCCAAAATAAAGTGTTTTAAGAAGCGAAAAGTGAAACAGGACTTCATTAGGTGTATATAATAATAATAATAATAATAATAATAATACAATGTATTATTGTAGCCCATCTAGACAAAGAGGTTCCTTTCCCTTTTCTTGGTAATCATTGTGCAAGACTTTTCATTCAGAAAGGAAGGATATTTTAACTGAGAACCAAACTGTAATCTCTCTGTACAAAATGTTGCAGATCATTAACATACAACCCTCTTCTTATGCTCACCACTACAATTTTATATAATCATCTTTAGGACTTGCTCATGCCCTTGCATGTATTAAGTCTTTTTCTGTAGAAATGATTAGATTATGGACCTCTTTTAAGTTCATCACCTTCCTTTTGAACAAGGGAGATGTGAGTTGAAACTCATAAATTATCAGTGGTTGCTTCCAAAGTGGCATTCACTGGTGAGCCAGGCTGGACCAACTGCAAGACAAAGAGACAAATAGGTGGTAGGAGCTCCCTCCCACACCTGCATGTGCTTGCAGTGGGTATCAAGAGCAATAGCTGAAGCTGAATGAATAATGCAAAATGGAAAGAGTGTCTTTTCTTCTCCGTTTTCTGCTCAAGAGCACATTATGTGCTCACGTTGGCTGGGAAATGCCATTCTCCCCATCCCTTTGTGCAGGCACGAAGCAACTTAAACTGAGACTGAAAGGCAGCAATCCAAAAGCGTGCAAAGGAAATCACTGGCTGGACTCAAATACATTAGAATATGAAACATGGCAATAGAAAATGTCTAATCCTTCTATCAGTGCTGAGTCTTTAGTCTAAATGCTAAGTGGGAATGCTGTGGCCCAGCTTTTAGACTGAGGAACTTGAACCTGATAGAGGGATTAGCCATCTGATATGACAAAGAGAAATAGCCAGAGTTATTGAAGTTAACAGTAAGAAAAACTTTCTAGAGGGAGATTAAAAGCTTGGGCTCCTGAATTTAAACCAGTATTTCTCTAGGTCTGGGGTGGGAAAACATAGAATTGCAGAATGATTTGAGTTGGAAGGGACCTTAAAGATCATCCAGTTCCATCCCCTGCCATGGGCAGGGACACCTTCCACCAGCCCAGGTTGCTCCAAGCCCTGTCCAACCTGGCTTTGGACCTTCCCGGGATGGGGCAGCCACAACTTCTCTGGGCAACCTGTGCCAGGGCCTCCCCACCCTCACAGGGAAGGATTCCTTCCCAATATCCCATCTATCCCTGTCCTCTGGCAGTGGGAAGCCATTCCCCTTGCCCTGTTACTCCAGGCCCTTGACAAAATTCAGCACAGACACAGCACCCAGCAGGCTCATGGCTTTGGTTCAAGTGGGGCATCAGCTGTGATGGAGATTAAATGAGGTTTAATGCAGTAACCAGTAAATAGTTGAGTGTTCTGTGCTCTCTGTGCCCTCTGCACTGACCCCAGAGAGCCAGCTCTCTGTTTGCTCTTGCATCTGTCTGACTCAGGCAGTCTGAAGGTAATTTTTCAGCAGTGAGTTAGAGCCACCACAGCACAGTTAACAAACTGCCTTGATGCATCAAGGCCTCCAACATGTTAAATATTTTGCAGTTTTTCTGCCAGAAACAAAGTTAATGTGAAAATACGTTTTTTGATGCTCAGGCACGTTCCAGACGCTCACCACCAGACTGATACATTTGAACAGAGAAAATTCATTCATTCTGTTAGCAGAAATGTTTGGAAAACATGCTTGGTCTGTTATTTCCCATAGCAGAGGGAAGCTCTGCATGTTCTCCACTGTACTGCTTGGTCCTGGCTGTCCCCACAGTACCCCAGGGCTGGCTGGCCCAGAACCTGACCTCCCAGTTCTGGCAAAATAGGAAAGAATTTTACTTTTAAACTCAAATCATAATTTATAGTTTCCTTAAGCAACTCTAGGAGGCTTTCAGGGCTTTCCTAGGGTTAGCAGCTTCAAAAAGCCCAGAATCAAGTTATCTTCCATTTAACTCCATTAATATCAGTCAAGCCATGTAAAGGACAGGTTTTATTGTTGGGTTAGATTCTTATGTTGTAAAGACACTGTTCAGAAGCCTCTAGGAAAGCAGGAATTGTTTCAGCCCCTGCTGCAGGTGGGTGTCTGTCGTTTGAGGGTCTGTCCCTTGAAGAAGCTCTGCCCAGTGATGGAGCCAAGGGTCACAACAACCTCAGATCAGTGCTGTTCTCCCTCTGAGAGCTGGCTGTGGGTCTGAAGGTCTGCAGGTACCTTTGGAAATGAGGGCTCTGACCATAAGGGCAGAGCAAAACAAGAGGGAGCTGGAGTTGAGGCAGGAACCCTCCCTGCTCCTGTGAGGGATGGACAGCTGGGTGCAGCTGACTTGACTGAGAATTGTTTAGAATTTGCTTTGCTGACTTGAAGGCAAGTTTTTTTTCTCAGTCTCAGATCTGAGGGAAAACCCAGTGAGAGAAGCTGTGCTGGGCATTCCATGATGGAATAAATATTGTTATGCAGCTCCTGAGCATCACTTTTAGCCCCACGGAGAGTCTGAGCTGAGAACAACCCCCCAGAGAGCAGCTTTGATTTTACACCTTGGAGAGGCTCTGCTGTGCAGCAGGAGCTCAGCTGGACCCAGAAGACGTTTTGCAGCAGCTGCTCACCCTGGGGGAGGCTCTGCAGGTCCCCCCTGCTCCTGTGCTGTGAGGTTTGTTTGGGCTCTGGGAGCTCCCCACATCATGTCCTTCCCTGCTCCATCCCTGGAAAGGCTGCAGGAAGGTCCTTTAATGTCTCTGGCTCAGTTTACTCAGCCACAGGACATGTCTAATACCTCTTTGAGCAGGTTAACAGCATCAGGAGTAACTTCTGCAATGCCCTGTGATGAGCAGTGCCATGCAAGTGCCAAGTGTTTCTATAATAAAGCACTTAATAACTAAGTGTGGCTCTCAGAGGGGAAAATCCATGAGTAACTCTGCAGTGGAGAGGGCACTCGGTTCTGTATTGCTGTCACTGCTCACTGAATACCCTGGAGAGATGTTTGAAATGAGTGTGATATCTTCCAGGGAGATCAGGGTACTTCCAGAGGGATTTTGCTCGGAAATCTGTGAAGCTTCTCTTCCTATGGCTTTTGATGGCTTATATCTTTCTCTATTTCTGTCATAATCCTTCATTAGGTTTTGTCAAACTGTTCCAATTGCTATAGCAACCCTAATGAAAACTTGCTCCCTAAATAACCACACCAATTTTATCAGGTCAAAACCTGCCCTTTACAGCTAATTCGCTGCCTTTTCACTGCACTTTTTTCCCTCTGAGTAGGGAGTTTGCAGTGAGAGGAGCCCAAAATTATTAACCCAAATATTTTTTTTTCTCTTTTCAGGTTAAATGAAATGGTTTCTTTTCAAGTCCTGCGCATTCAACTAATGTGTGTGGAAGGACACACCCTCTTGTTCCTGCCATGCTCTTGCTGGCTGACCTCTGTATTTAGAGCGAGGTAATGAAAGTTCATCATCATTACAAACCAGTGTGTGTAAGGTTTCTTTCAAATGCCCTATAAATCTAATGTGTAAGGTTTCTTTCAAATGCCCTATAAATCCAGGGAGAGGGTGTGGTGCGTGCTTTATGATAAAATTTCTACTATTTCATTGCAGTGAGATCTGATCTGGCTTGAATTCGAGTCTTCAGCAAGGCAGCCCATATTGTATCTGCAGCACCCCAAAGCTCTCAGTCACTTCTTTCACATGGAAATCCAAGACCAAATTTTGCAGTACCTTTGTTGGCATAAGAGTGGGTCTATAATTGAATAGTAAATGTCTCTTTTGCCCTTTCCCTTCTGGAATAATATCTCCTGTGCAAGTAGGAGATTTTCTTCCAGCTTCTGCCATTGAATGAGCTCTTTACGTTGGTTATTTTAAAATAATTTGTTTAACTTTATGGGTCGGGAGGAATAAGATGAAAATAAAAGATGAGTGGCAGGGTCTGCCCCAAGTTTCAGCTGCAGCCAAAGAGCATCAATAGATATTCCCCAGCTGGACAGAGATGAAATTATTCTCTTTGGCTGGACAAAGAGTTTTTTTGCTAAACGAATGACTGAAGTCAAACCTATAAATGACAGCACCCTAATAATAAAAACACCATATTTCACAAGCTTCGAACAGAAAGCAGGGGAATGTAGAATGAATTCAGCAGCTGAAATAGTCTGCCTGGTGTGTATTAAGGTACTTTGAAAGGGTATTGTGAAACTTCCATTACATCTTCTTACATTTTACATGAGCAGAGGCCTTCCTATATTTCTCCACAAAAGGGAATGAAAAAACCTTTCCTCCTATTGGAGAAAAATGGTTAAACACCCCCTGAAACAGCACATATGTCCCCAGATCAGAAAAGTGCCCAATAAGCACAATGCTAAGGAATCTGGCCTAAAGGACTCTTTTCCTTTTGCTGGCAGACCCCCACCAATTCCAGCACAGGGATTTCATTGGGGATGGAATATTTGAAGATATTCAAGGAGTGGAATGGAGGCAGATTCCCAAATTTTGCTAATACTCAGTGCAAGTTTCATGCTTCATGGTCTTCTCTGCTGGTTCCTGTGCTGTTCTCCCGTGTGTCTTGCTCCTTTGGTACATTGTGTTCACTGTGTGCCCTCTGACCCCTATGCCGGGAGAAGACTCCCAGTGGTTTGGGAATGGCCTCAGGTTTCACCAGGGGATGTTCGGGTTGGATACCAGAAAACTCTTCACTGAAAGAGTGATTGATCATTGGAACAGGCTGCCTGGGGAGTTGGTGGGGTCACCATCCCTGGAAGAGTTCAAAACATGAGTAGAAGTGGCACTTTGCACAGGGGTATTCGGTCAAAGGTCGGATTTGATGATCTTGGAGGTCTTTTTCAACCTTAAGGATTCTGTGATTCACTTACCCAGAGGATGGCCTGACTCAAATGTCCTCTGTAGAGTCTCACCCTGTGCTCTCAAACAGCCACGAGGAGTTTGGGAGGGAGGAGCAACATTCACTTTATAATGGTGCAGTGAATCAGAAGGCAGCAGGACTCAGTACCAGAAATACTGTGGGGCTGGAGAAAAAAGGGGGTGTTTGTAACCTGAGGAGTTTCTTCCCTGGCTGCAAGAACCCCCCCAGCTGAGAACCTTGATGAAGCTGCCCCTGGCAGTGCCCTCATCCCCTGCAGCTCTTTCCAATTTCTTCCACTGTCCAACGAGATTTCCATCACCCACCCACCCACACATCTTGTATTAAACCAGCACACGGGGCTTTCTGGAGAGCAAGATTTGTGTTGCCTGGGGGACACACCCTGTAAATACCATCCAGACAAAGCCTGACTCTGCTGGAAGTGGTGTGTTGGTGGGAAGATGGTGTAGGTGAGTTATATGTATTTTGTAGAAGTCAGCAGCTCAAGAATTGCCAAAAGCATTGTTATTTTACACTGCAGATGGTAGCAACCCATCAAATGAAAGGGGGAGGCTGGAGGCAGGTGTGCTGAGAATTCTCTGGGAGACAGCAGCTGCAGAGAGAAAGGTCTGCAAGGCAAAGTCAGGAGAATCATGTCTGAAATCAAAGCAGGGTCTGATTAAAGTGGGAATATTTTGATGCTGGGGGAATTTAGTGTAGGAAATTACAGAAAGCCAAAAAAGATCTCCAGAAACAACGTACAGGTTCAAATGGTGCTGCTTTAGTGACTGGAGGACATGGTGTGCAGTGAAAGCAGAGAGGCTGGTTCCCCCTCAGCAGCAGGGCAGTGCAGCAATGATTGGCATGGTTAAGCCAAACTTCAAAATTCCTCTCAGAAAAACACTGTCCTAAATTCTTTTTTCCTATACTCTTCTGTTCAGTTAGAAGTCTGTTCACTAAATACTTCATAATAATCTTATGTCACCTCAGTCTTACAGGAACATGCTGGTACTCAGGAACTTTGCTTCCCTGTGTTACAGGATTTTGATTCCTTTTGTAGGTTCCTTGAGCTTATTATACATTTAATAAGCTGCTGTGGCCCACTGCATCATCTGGAATCTCTGCAGTGAGCAAATGCTGCTCTGCTTTAGCTTCTGCTGATCATGACAACCAACCCACTCACATTATTTAGATCACTAATCCCACGAAATAACTCAGTGTCACTCTCTAAAGCAGATAAAAACCCCAAAACAAAACTCTCTTCTGAAACGTAACGTCAATCACAGAGAACATTTATACATTAAATGTTGGCTGCAGGGAAGGAAAAAGCCCAAACCTCTCAATTTCACTCAGAAAAATCTCTTTAGTTGTGAGTTTTCACCAAATGCTGTCGAATTCAATACATTCAGGAAGGTAAATTACCATTTACCTGTAACTTTTCTGCTACACACAGCACTTAAAGCTTCCTCAGCCTGTGCCCACCTCAGCCAGGAAGAGAGGGGAGCATTTCCAAGCCAGAAAACAGTAACTTCTTCCACCCAGTATTATTTTCTGAGAAAGAGGAATTGAGATATCTCCAATATTGAAGATTACTTGAAAATAAATGTTTTGCTGGCTGAAAGAATTCCTTTGAGATTTTCCCCTTGCCAAAGCCCATTTACATTTCCAGTCTTATTTAACTAGAATTTTTCCCACATCTGTTGCAGGAAATTAGGGGTTCATGTTCTGGAAATTGTGTTTCAGGAGATAACTCCCGGAACGAGGAACATCTCGCCAGGAAGGAGGGTTCTCCCCTGCACACCTTCTGTCTTTCCAGGAATCCTTTGGGAGGTAAAAGCTGTCTGGGGGCAAGTTTCTCATCAGCAGCATTTCGGGGAACTTGTGTTTAGCTTCTTTTTATTTCTTAAGTGGCAGCAGCTGAGCACAGATGTCTGGATTGGCAGCAATTCTGAACCCAATTAACCCAGTTAATGGCACCAGAGCCCTTCATGAAGTGAGGGATTATTGCAAGCAGACGTGGCACAGCCACTCACCCCTGTCGAGTGCCCTGGTGTCACCGAGAAAATGAGTGGAGGTAGGAGCAACCAAGTGATTAGCTGTTATAATATTGTTAATTAAGCACCAGTAGGAAGTTTGCCACTAAAATAGAACTAATCTCCATCTATTTCTCTCTCCCATGTTTGGCACTGTGTTATTAGATCACACAAAACAGTCTCAGTCCAGTCTCTGGGTAACAACTTCGTAAGAAGGTGTGAACGTGAAGCAAGGTGAGATGTGGGAGGTGTAACCCTGCCGTGGGGCATTCACTGAAGTGAATGTGTGGCAGATTCAGACCAAACAGCTGCAGGATTTCACTGGGGTCACCCATTCCTACCTCCCCGTGATGGTGGGCTGTGTGTGTTTTTGATCAGGACACCGAGCTGGAGCAGCCAGGAGCTGTAACCTGCCTGGACTGCACAACTCCAGGGGTGTTGGTTGGTAAGATTGCACATAAAAACAGTCATTGCAAAGTGCTGAATTGTTTCTCAGCTGTATAAACCAAGGAAATGCAAATAGCTGATTTTTTAGGTAGGTCTTCCTGCAATCCCTTCTCTCTCTTCTGTCTGTTTAACAGCAGCCTCAGCTTATGTGTGTTCCTGGTGGATCCATGCTCTTCTACACAAGTGGTTGGTATAATTTCCCCCAAATCAACCAGCTCAGGACTCCTGCCACCCTATTCACTGGTTCAGTTTCTCCCTTGAGTTAAACTCCTCTTTTCTGGGCTGTGCCATGAGGCCCATGTTGCTGAGGGTTAACCTGAGCAGCAGAGTGCTGCGGGAAATGGCACAGTCAGGGAGCAGAGCTGCTGCTGCAGAAAGAAATGCTAAAGCCGTGTTTCAGAGGAGATTTTAAGAAAACTACAGATAATATCCTGGCCTGTGTTATCCATTCAGATAAAATTGAGTATAATCCTACTCCTATCACTACACCACTAAATGTATTTAAAGGAAGAAATTTATTTCCCCTCCTATTATCCTTCTTTTCTCCTTTCCTCTTGCACTCTGTGCTACTTAGGAGTCCAAAAATGAATAGTTGAGCAAGAAACTTCTGCACTCCCCCTCATCTCTGGGAAATTTCTGGGCTAATGTTCATGTATTTCAGTGCTCTCTTCCTTCCCTCTGCTATTATGATTCAGGGCTTCAGAGACCCGTTTTGTAGGCAGGTTTTAAAGGTTACTCCCTTTAGTACCTCAATACCTCTTACTCGAAGGTTATTCTGCCATTTTTTCCCTTAGAAGTCTTCAATTTTTGTTTTAAATGACAAACGTCTCTTCCTGCCTTTTTGAAGAGAGCTTCTCCTTTCACACTGCTTTTATTTTTGATCACAATGAGCTGCAGCAATTATTACCAATTCTTTAGGTGCTGTGCTGACTGGCAATGAGTGGTGGCCATGGACATGTAGGTCTTTCTGCATCTTCATCAAAATTCAAGACCAAGTCTAGGCTTAGCCCTCTTCTTGGTATTTTGAATTAATTTTTGGGAATAACTGAGAAATTGAGCCTTGTCAAGACAATAATGCTCATTATGTAAATTCTAATCCAGAAGAGGCAGC